GCATGTACATATTTTCTTCAGAAAATTTTAACATCTAAACATGGAAAATGCTTGAAGCGAGAATTGAGCTAGAGGTCGACATTTTCTTCCAGGGTAACGGACATGTAGTTTACGATAAATCGTTTTTCTACAATCCCATTAATCGATCGACGGTCCTTCGATACGATCTCTATGCGTCCTCGGATCATCAGAAGTGCAAACAGCTCTCTCGCGAATGCGAGATACAGCTTCCATGCTTGGAGGTCGACGGCCAGAACTACCTTTACACGCGCAATTTTACCTACACGGATTTCAACGTAGATGAAAACGGTAAAATCTGCAGGACAGACAAATATTCAAGCTCTACATATAAAGTTGAATAATTGAATGATTGAAAATATTTATTTCCACATAAAACGCGGAACCATTGTGGCATGACAATACAATATGCGGCGTTTCTGCAGGTTTGTGGGTCATTTACCCATTATCCCCTAATTGTAGTGGTAAAAATACGGTGGTAGTTAAAATGGATCCCACTAAAATGATCATTCAGTACGCGTGGAATATCAGTATCGATCACCGTCGCTTTGGAGAGATGTTTATTGCAGGAGGCGTGCTTTATGCTATACGCAGTGTCACCGACGATACTATGGAGATACGGTAATGCGAGTGACGAATTGCTCTTAAAACCACAATCGTATGCAGTACACATATCCCATGAAAATTCTTGGAAATTTAGATTTTCAATATTTTTTATTATCCTTAATATCACTTTTAATCTTTATTCCCAACAAATATAGATAACTGCTATAATAATTGTAAATAACTACTAATATACAATAGATAACATATATGTAAATGTACACCTTTTACATCTATGTTATACGAGTTATATTCAATATTTGTTTTGTAAAACTTTTAGAGTAAATCTCAAGAGTGTGAAATCTCACTCTTGAAATTATGCCTGTTTCTATTAATGTAGATTAACTTTAATCTCAATCTTGTGCTCTTCATTTTTTTTTAAATTCTTACAACTAAAGAGAGAGAGAGAGAGAGAGGAAAAGATGAAGGGTTAGTTGATCACACATTTGTAGAAACGGGCATTCAAGATTGGAAATTGAATTACTCTTTTTCAAGACTGATTCAATTTTCACTCTTCAGAGTGAGATTCTACTCCAAAGAATTTAGAGTGTGGGATTGTGCCTTTATTACTTTCAAAATACCGTTCCTTTATTTTAACAATGACATATTTTTAAAAGCGTGTTTTCAAGTTATTACACGAATAAGTTAGGTAAATATTATTCTAACTCTTTAGAAACAAGACCGTTTATATGAATAAATTAAACTATAATATGAGACAGCCAATTAAATATCATTCTTTAATCATTAAAACTGAATTAACTTAACTTCATAAAAAATTGTTAGAATATTACAATTTAAAGGATAGTTTAGAAATATTTTGAATCCTTAAAATACCGCCCTTTAAAAAGGGCGATGTTCTAATAGTTCGTGAAACGAAAATGGTAAAAATGTCATTCAATTATGTTAAGATAATCCTTTATTCCTTTACGATATTATTTGATTAATTAATAATTTATGTCGAGTGAAGAGAGAGAGAGAGAAATAATTTTTCTTTTTTTGTAGAAATTTAATTTTTTAAATTGTGTCACTTTTAAAATAAGGGAGCGATATATCCACGAATAATCTCGTGAAATATTTGTACTATGTACTTGTACTTGCTCCTTTCTGACCTAAAAATTATTATTATTTGTAACTCGACCGAATTTCTTAGATTCGCCTTCGATCTCTACAAAAATACGACGCTGGATGTAAACTTGTCGTTTACGAATCCGTACCACAAAACCACGGCAGTTAGTTATAATCATAAGACTAAGGTACGTGCTTTACCGAGATAGTCTTCCACTATTTTGTTGTTTCGCGTTCGTGTAATCCGTTTCGTTTTAGGAGCTGTACACGTGGAATAAAGGCAATCGATTAGCCTACCCCGTGAAATGGCAGGAAGTAACTGAGAGGGAACCATCTTCACGATACACGCATGTACCTCGAAGAAACGCACGTAGGAGCATCACTAATCGCCGCGAGAATGTTAATTAAACAAGTTTGACGTGTAACGAGTTCTCTCTCTTCGAGCCTTCTCGCGAGCGTATTTATCTTGTAACACGTGCCAAAAATAAAACAGTTTAAACGAGACGTTTAATCAGTGGGTGTAATTATTGCTTGTTAACAAATTTAGAAATGATGCTAAGAACTATCAGATTTACATTTAAGTGCGTATGGTCGTGCAAAATAATACAGAATCATGTATAATCGTAACATAATTTTTAAAATTGTACTTTTAAGAGGATATGTAATAAGGACATAAAAATATATATAAAAGAAAATGCGTATAAGCTTCTTTTTTAAAACAATTAGTTATCGTTTATCGATAGCCTTATTCTAATAATGTACATCCTTTCACTTAATTAATAACAGAAAATTTAAATTTTAAAAATAAAATCATTATAATTGTTGAGTAAATGAGAGGAGAACGGAGTCATGGTCAGTCGGACTGATTACTTTACAAGAATTCTAAAGAGTAATATATATTACTTTTTATCTAATGTTTTATTTCAAAATTTAAATTTATTTAAAATAATGTACTATGCACATATGAATAACTACAAAAAAGATATATTTGATGAAAATTTTAAGTGGTAATTCATATAAGAAATTATGACATTATAAGGTTAGCATATTTAAATGCATGTGTATCGCATTTTATGCAGTAATCGGATTTTTCAAAACTTTTATACAACAAAAAATTAAACATACTTATCTGTCATTTTCATTTTCTGAAATTTTTTTTGGAACAGCTTGATAATTGGTCTGACCTGATAAGCTATACTGATGAAAACTATTTATATATCGTAAATAAAAATTTAATACATTTAATAATTGTTTTAATAGTTTTTCTTCAAAGTTATGATCCTATTGTATAATTCTGCAACAAATTTGAGAAGAATCCAATTTGAAATTAACATATTAATAAATTTTTTTAGGTGATCGCCACCATCCCCGTTTCCCATACATATTTCATTTAAAATTAACAATGTTGAACAATTTAAATAATTTTGCTAATAAGGGGAGGCTCCGGGGTGACCCTCACCAATTTCAATGAAACTTGGCAGGATTGTAGAGTGTGTTCCCTTGAATAAAAATCACCTTTTATTTGGGCGTAGACAGTCTACTGTTTTCGAGATATCTCAATATTAAAATTGGCAACGGCATTTCCTTTAGAGTTTATTAGAACGTTCATACTCGAGTATTTGTAGCGTAGTGGATATGATAACCACTTCCTTTATTTTAATGCAATATTCATAATAAACTTTATATACTATCGTTTGAGATGAAGTATTATAACTGTCTGCTCGATATGAAGTGTTTATTTGCAAATCAATACAAAGTGTCGATATGAATTATCTATTTGGTACGAAGTGTTATTAAAAACGTTTCGAAAATAACTATAAAAAATGTAAACAGAGCGGATTGTCAACGAAATTGGCGATCGTTTCCACCACTACGCTACAAATACTCGAGTATGAACTTTCTAATAAACTTTAAAGGAAATGTCGTTACCAACTTTAATATTGAAATATCTTGGAAACGGTAGACGGTCTACATTCAAATGGAGGGTAATTTTTATTCAGGGGAACATACCCTGCCAAGTTTCATTGAAGTCGGTGAGGGTTGCTCCGGAGCTTCCCTTTGTAAGATAAAGATAAAGAAAAATAAATTCACTGAATATACATTAAATATTACTGAGTAAATTTTCCGTCAAATTTATTAAATTAGCATGCGATGTACTCGCAGAACCTAAACTAATAGCAACATCAGTTTGCAGTTGTTCGCAGAAAACAAATAATTATTAATGTTATAGTTTCTCAACATATTAAAATATAAATGTAATATAAAATATAAATGTAACATAACACATGTTGTATATAACAGCTATATTATTGAATGAGAAAATATATCATTGGCTGCGTTCAGCAGACTCAACAGTTGAGTGAACGCTCGCTGTTATTGGTGTATTCTTTTAGATCATTCAATCAGTAAGTTGGATCCAAAAGAATACATCAATAGCAGTGAACGCTCACTCACTATTGAAACCGCTTAACGCAGCCAATGATGTTAATTATAACGTGAGAAATCACAATATTGATGTTATTGTTATAGTTATCGATAATGATGCTGATAATGGTGATAATGTTACTGTTAGTTCCATTTTGCGAGTATATTTACGGTCATATTTATGTAAACAGATAATGATATCAAAGATTAATTAAAATGGGCTTTAACGTATTGGCTTCAACATTACTATCTTCCGTAAATACGTAGTTATGTTACAAGATAACATTTTTCTTATTGCTCAAAGGTTGGATTATTTAAGTCTAGATGTGATATATATAGTTACATCACAGAAAAGGTCAACTGATTGCAACATCTGGGAATTAATACTTTGTGACTCATCTTCGATTAGATCTTCACAGTAAGGCCTTGCGTACAATGGAGGAAATATTAGGAACAGGAATAGATATTAAGATTTCAACCTATCAGAAACCGGGTATTCCGGTGTAACTGGTATCTGATAGGTTAAAATCTTAATATCTATTCCTGTTCCTAATATTTTCTCTATTGTGCACAGGGCCTCTTACAATATCAAACTACAATATCAAATATCTGTGCACATGAGATACAATAAGACAAAACCGTTGACGCGTTCCGCTCTTCCCTTGCGGATGCGACCCTTTGGACTTGCGACCCTTTGGACTTCCGACCCTTTTGGTACACGACAGATGCGACAAGGTTCCGAAACGCGACGATAAGATATAGGTATCCGATGTGATTGAAATAACAGTTAATCATCACCCTCCTACTATTTTCATAGTAATATGGAAGGGGAGCATGGCGAACGTGCACGCGAAATTATTATACAGCACGGTTATAAATACGACCGCGGTAGGATCGACGGACAAGTCCCGTCGAGTATCACGTTCACTCGGTTACGAGCTCGGCTCCGGCAGAATTATATATACGATCCTTGTTGAGCAAGTTAGCCTAGGCTCATCTCTACAGAAAATCGGAGACGTGACTACATTGCTCGGTTATCGGCACCAGCTCGCGGTTCGGTTATGGGTACAACCGTCAGTACTTTGGGGTAGGTCAACGGGAGTAATAAGTAAAATTATATTTCAACACTTTCCCTGTTATACAACATTTTGTCACGCTTGGTTGCTTTGCTGAGATCGTTATAACATTACGATTGAGAACAGAGATCTCTATCCCGATAAGAACAGGTGTCTACATTGAATCCATATATCTTATTATATGGACAAAAATTCATTGACATCTATATGTAATGTGTGATGAATAATAAATCAAGATATCCAAATTTTAATATAGATTTCATAAAGTGAAAATCGATGTGAATTTATTTACATGAATTCTATATTACTATCTTCTAATTTTATCTCCCCGTTAAACATAAAATTTCATGTTAAATTAATTTTGAGGAAAATTCATTTAATGAAATTACAGTTTCATTCATGTATGGATATCATAACAACGAATTTTTTGTCCACGTAAAATACGGATTCAATAAGATACCACGAATCTGTTCTCATTAATAATAATTTCGTCGAGTTCTCAAAAAACTTGACTTTTATGAGAACTTAATAAGCTGTAATAATGTCGAATTATGCGAGAATTGTGATTTAAAATTCGCTATTCGTATGAGATCCGTGAACAGTGTGTGGATGTATTCGTTGAATTTGCATTAATGGCTTCTTTTTGATAAAATCAAAGAGTGTGAACACTACTTAATGGCCAATCATGCAAGACCTTGATTACTCACATCACAATTGGTCAATTTAAAAATCTTCTCCCTGGTGGTACACTGAAAAAGTTTCACTTCAGGCATCGGCCAAGGTGAGTGGATGTGTGCAATCAGTTAATTCCCCTAGTCGAACAATATTATTGCGTAAACACAAGATTGTCATTATTGCGTAATATTTATATGTTCTTAACTTTTTAATTTTTTGAGTTATCATTGACATTATTTTTTTATTATTAAATTATCGCATTAAATATAAGAATATAATTAAAATAGGTTTTTTTAAGGCTCAATTGACGTAAATCAATACAATAATAATACCTATTAGAGTCAACACAGGATGTCCTGACAACCTGTGTTGGCTCTATAGGCATCATTATTGTATTAAATAAAAAATTATGAATAAAATTGCAAATTGGGAATCGTATAGAGATCTACATGAATGACAAATCTCCACGAATCTTATACAAACAGTGAATCATCATGAATTACAAATTATTGCGCAATTTGAGTTTTATAGTTTTAACGCAAGATTGCAATTACAAGTTTACTTAAAAAAGTATTTTTTGTAAATTTAGACCGTAGTCCGATTTACGCTCACAATGCTTAAAAATTATATTGTTATTCTTATTGTTTATAAAATGCTAAATAAGGATAAATGATGCTCAGAAGCATTGTTAGCGTTAAACTACAGCTTTAATAAGATATTATTATTCGAGAGAAATTTGCAAGCAATCTATTTTATAGCAGCAATTAGTTTTTAAAAACCAGTTTTTATAATTGATCGTTATTGCAACGACGTTAGGCCTTTTAATGTTATACTGTGCAATCTTAACGTGATATTTGAAATAGTCTTTTGTCGTTATTTCTTCTTTTCTATTATATTTCTTTGCAAGAATTGTTTACATAATGAGACGTAAGACAGTTGAACTTCCGTTTGCAGAATAAAGTTCGTAATCAGCAGTGACACGTAAACTGCTTCGTAACGTTCAATTGCTCCGCGACTGTTTTTATCGTGCGTATCTATGTATGCTTGTACTTTATCATGAAATTTGCTTGTGTTGGAAATGTAAAAAATAAATGCAGTTACGCCTTTATGATTCGTGCAATCTGTTGCATAATATAATGATAGTGATTTCTAATTTTTATCTTACAACTAAATACACGTTACATGATAAAAATATTTCTCGCTTGTTGCGCAATATCTGTACTCTTTCATCAAATGATCTTTAAACGATACTTGAAAAAATATGCAAGTCATGCAATATGCAAACATTAATAGAATGTTCAAAATAATGTCTACATTCCTCGAAACAATTGTTTGACGTTTATCATTAATAATAAAATAATAAATTACATAGAAAAAAAAACAATGTTTTAAGTTCAAACGACTGGACTCCTGTATTCTTCAAAATAATAAAAACATATCAGTGAAAAATAAAGCGATTCTACGAATTTCTATTATTAGTATTTAATTCATCTCTACTGTAATGCTCTCTCTCTCTCTCTCTCTCTCTCTCTCTCTCTCTCTCTCTCTCTCCTTTGCTTTTATGAGCATAATAATTTCATCTTTTTTTGTTATGTAACATTTGCTTCACAAAAGATTTTAGAATAATCGTAGTTAATGCCTATTTCACGTCGTTTTACTAAAATTACTCGAAACTCGATACTATCGACTTTCAGTTTACAATAATGGAATCGACGAACAACAAAGTCATAAGTGAAATCGACTGCTCGGCTCGATTGTAATTTAGGACAGAAACGTCGAAACGTCGATATATTCTCTAGACATGCAATATGCATCGGAAATATAAAAACCTTGATAATCACCACAAGAGTGTAACACGATAGTGTATATAAGAAGTGCATTTTTCACATAAATACAATCTTTCTTTAAAAAGTTAAAGTTTGAATTTCGGTAAAAAATTTTTATGTATAATTATAGCTTTTAGTTTTTATACTAATATATATAATTCTTTTTAGGCTTTTATGGGTGTTATCTTCAAAGATACCAGAAGGTTTGTGGATTATTCATTGCTAATGTTAACATTTCGTGAACCTTGCCATTCATTTCATTAGATTGAGAAGCACACTAAAACTCTAGATATATGAAAGTAGCACAAACCTTTTATTGAGCCGAAATGCCTTTCGAAACACCTTTTCTATTGACCACAATAGGAAAGTTGTTTCGAAAGGCATTTCGGCTCGGATAAAAGGATTGTGCTACTTTTATATATCTAGAGTTTTAGTGCGCTTCTCACTCTAATGACCTAGTGGTCTGTAGATCACTAAGGGCCGGTTGTCCATCTTTTGGTAAATTTTATCTGTGAGGTAAATCTGGCAATCCGCGCATGTGATTGGGTAATCTTGCTATTTATACCCAACAGGTAAAATTTACCAAAAGATGGAACAACCGGTTCTAAGCGCTTAGTATTATTGGTATATGATATAATTAGTAAGTCGAAAATGGAGGCTACCTTTGCACTACTTTAGTATATTTAGAGCTTTAAAACGCACATTATTAGTCCGCTTCTTTTCCTAATGAAGTGAACAGCAAAGTCACGAAATGTTGGAATTATGTCAATGATTAAAAATACGGCGATAATCCGCAAACTTTTTGATATCTTTGAATGTATATAATTATGCATAACTATACATAATATATTTTTATCGAGGTCATAAGATATCACAGATTATTATAAAATAATCCGTGATATATATGTGTGTGTCAACGTTTCAATCTGTTTCCTGCCTTCTTGACAGCTTTCTGATATTTTCATCTCTTCTTTTATCTCGCTGTAGCGTTTATAGTATCGGAAATAGTTATCAAAAACTGAGATTGGTACAATTTCAGTGAACTCATATTTCGATATACATCATACACAAAATCATTTATATGTCTATACGTTTTTCCTATATTTTCAATATCGAACATGCAAATGGAGTCGATATACAGATATCAATTTTTTATCCAGTTTAATTATTTAACGCTCTCATCTGTGTATGCATCCAGTTTGTACAACAAAAAAATCGATACATTGTTGAGCAAATGCAACGAGAATATTTCATGTATGTTTGTGGTAGACTTGGAAATATCGAGAAATGAATGCATACAATAAAAAACAAGTCCACAATCATTTTTTTATTCTTAAGTTAATAATAAAAAACAAATGACTAATTATTTTTCAATCTTCGTAGAGTGAACTCTTCTTGTTTGTCTTCGATCGATTTTGTTGTTCTATGTATACAGAACGACAGACGGATTAAAGTAAATTGCATAACGATGAAATAAAAACTTTGTACTAAAAGTTTTAATAATATATAAAAATAATAATAATAATAATAATGATAATTTTATGTGTGTGTGTGTGTGTATATATATATATATATATCTTTTTTGCACATAATAATGACAAAGTAATCTTAAGTCATTTTTCTAGTTAAAGAAAATAAGTTATTAAGTAATAAATACGTTAAATAAGGACTCTCTCTTTTTAAAATAACAAAAACAACCTAAATGTGAGCTAATGAGAGTCAGTGCGAACGAAGGTGTGCAATAAATATTTCACAAATAATTTTGTTAATTCATACGATGTGTTGATATCGTCTTTATTTGAAATCTTGAAATCTTGAACGTTTCGATTCTCTTTGGAATCTTCATCAGCAATCTTCTTAAACCATACTAGATTTCGCGAACGCTCAATGTGGAGTCACTCGCAGGTTGCCAAAACTGTAGTGTTATCTGTTTTAAATTCAGGTATTGTACATAAGATATTGAAATTCAAGCAATAAAGTAACGAGTAACTCACCCATACGATCGCCAAATCTCATCATGAAACCTTGGATAATATATTAATATTCACAACTAACCACATTTTATAATACATTTATTGTAAATTTGTTTGAACTCCGTCCAATATATCTGGAATGACGAGTATGTATAATGACACGTAATATTGACAAAGGTCGAATTGACGGAAAACAATAAGTCATAATAAATACAAAATATAAAAACAGTACATTCATATTAAGTTGCTGATTTTAACATATATGACGTATGTAACATATTTAATATATATAATGTCAAGTCATAGATATAATAAATATAAGAACAGCATTATTGTTATAGTTTTAGAATTATTGTTATAGTTTAAGACATATTTTTAATACAAGAATTAAAGCGTCAAAATAAAGATCTAGATTACGCAGTCAAAATTTAAACGTGACGAATAATTATGCTTAAAATTATGTAGTAATTTATAATCGACCCTTGTAAAAATTGCAAATAAATAACTGCAGTAATAAATAAGTATCATAAATAAGGTATTAAATTGAAATTTCATAGCTTTAAAACTTAATTATTATTTTATCATAATAATTAACAAGAAATGGACAAAAAGTAATACATTATAAAATCAATTGCCATTTGAGATTTTTAAGACTAAGACTTGCAAAATTTAATTTCACAGATTCAGTTTAAATCGTGCTTGTTGCAGCGTGCTTAAGTATAGATACTTAGTTACTATTACATTGCAAAATTGCACAGTTAAGATTATACATCGCCTACGGACGTGAGTTATCAGCATTTGTCAACGTTATGATCTTTAGTTATTTCCGTACAATAATCACGTCATTTACGAATCTGAATACATTAAATATCACAAAATATGTGTATGAGTGTATGGGACGTGTTAACGGCGCGTTTCCAAAACAAGTTTTTTACAAGGTGAATACTGATTCACCATGTCGCAAATGACAAAATTGATTATTATTTAGAGAACAAAAGAACGAGCATTATATGCTTACTCTTAGGAAAGAAAAATTATCCTATTATTTATTAATGACATTGGCGACCATTAATCATACGATCACAGTGTATGAATGTTTTCGTGACGAATTACGCATCTTACGAATGATGGATTGTAACAAGTATAATTATATAAACTCGTTAGATCGCATGCTTTGTCATGCTACTACATAAGTAGTATTCAAATCGAGAAAAATCACTTGATTGTCATGCTTGTGCATGCTAAAAAAATTTTTTATTTCAATTTCTATTTTTTTATATATGTCCTTTCCTTTAATCTTTAGTTCTGGTTTTAAAAAATTCTTCTACACGCAGAGAATTTTATTTTAAAATTTACCCCGAAAATATGATAGTTGTCATACAATATTTTAAAGATTTTTACCATACACTTCAGTAAAATTAATCAAACCTATTTTATACTTTATTGTAGTTTTATTAATGAATGAAGGAGATTTACATTAAAATTCTTGGAAATACAATATTGTTCCTCGACTATCGTATTTTCAGGGTAAACTCTAAGAAAAAATTCTCTTCGTGTTCTTACTATGCATATATTACATTGTGATTACTTGGCCTTGTTTTATCATTCTGTCCCCATTTTTTCTCATTTCTTATTCCTCGTTTTTATTAAAAAACCTGTTATATCCAGGGTCAGCAACTTATCGCGGGTTTGGAATTTTTGACTAACAAAAAGAAGGAAGGAAAGAGTACAAAATAACAACCTTTTTTATTTTTTATTTTGTGCTAATTGTTGTCTCCTTTTTTACAACTGCGAATTGCGACGCTAACAGCCAGTAAGGAATCATTTATATTGGCCGTAACCGTACCTCATAATTTGTAAAAATTGATTAATCACAATCGAATATTCCCCTCTCATTCAATTGTAAGAGAGAAATGCTCGACTGTGATTGTGCCGTATGCCGTTATCTGTAAGAATTACAGATAATTCTTACAGATAACGGCACACGACCAATAAGTTATCTCTAAAAATTGAATCTCTATAATGCACGCAGTTGTACTGCCATCGCAAATATGGGTCGGCGTCTGCGTACAATATTTTAAAAAGTTCACAGTTGATTTTTAATCTAATTCTTGGATTCCTTTGGTGTGGATTTCCGCACTAAGCTAAATTTTGGGTGTGAAGTGCTCCACGATTCCACACTATAATTGCCGGGCCTGGTTATACTATACGTTAGTAAACTACGTTGTAAAACACTATATATTCAAAATCGTAACTTGATTTTTTTTTTATTGATCTTGATCTTGTCATTCAAATACGCTATTTCATGTCTCGGATCTCCGATTTTCTGCCATTTTCTATACTTAACTCTATTACACAATTAATCGATTAATTAATTAATTTCTCTCTTTATATTTTATATTTTATATTATTATTAATTTTTCTCAAACATATTTTGATGAAAAAAATGCAATAGAATTTGTAAATGCTACATGTTGAAAATAGTAAGATATTAACAAGAATCAGCAATAAATTCCAAGGAAGCAAAAATAGTGTAATATAAGATAGTCCTAAAAATAGTTTATTATAATTAAGAGATATTTATTTTACGCTATAAAGGAATAATAATACTGATAATATGAAATACTAACAATAAATATATAATAAAGAACAATAGCATTTTTAATAGCAAAAAATAATTAACAAAGCAAGATTAAGGATACGGAAAAAACAGACCAAAGATATAATGAACAAATGTATAACATAATTTTTTAGGTTTTTATGCTATGTTATACATTTGTTCATTATATCTGACTCGGTTTGAGTCGCTCCCTATTTTCCTACGCAAACCTTCTAGTATCTTTGAATTACATATTGTATGTATAAAGAAAAAAAAGAAGATATTATACGTACATAATACAATATTGTGAGACATGTATGCGTATTATAGATTTAAAATAAAATTTTCTCTTTTTATACGAAAAACTTGAAATTAAACGATAATTACATGACGTTCTAGAGATTACTCTACAGCATTAAATCATACTCATAATTCCATATAATCTTGTAGAATCTTTTTTTATTTTTCTCGCAAATTAATGTTACACTGTGCTGAGTAAGTTTATGGCTCGAGGCAACAACTCCTCATTAATATTCTTATATCCTCTTCTTTGTTGAATTAATCTCACGTGTTGATTTGCGGCAATAAATTACGATTAAGAGTCTTTCTGTCTCATATCTTCAGCAGGGCTACCATCTTTTTTCCCCGAACAGTGTCCTCTTCTTTAAGAGGTCTTGTCAAAGTGTTTGAGGTAATTATTCAGGACACCTTTGGAAAATCCTCCCGAATGTCTCCGGACGTCCTACAAGAAAATAATGTCCGGGGAAAAAAGAAGACGGATATAGTAATTCTAATCTTAAGACAACTTAATCTTGATAACAGAGAGAAAAATGTAAAAATACGTACAATTACAAAAAATATAAATTCTTATCTCGTAATATTTGTTACATTTAGAAAGCAATAATAGACAGTTGCTTGAATGTGAGATGCATTGTCTGATATGATATGCAACGTATTCGTAAACAGCAACATTATATAATGCTTGTTTGAATACTCATAAATCTTACAATTTGTCTTAAAATATTAATAGTTTCATAATAGTTGATAGAGGAAGAAATATCTTTCTCAAAATTGCGAGACTTTTTCAGCAATGGGATCATGTCAAAAATACGATTCATGCTAAATGTCATACCGTTTTTTAAATGAATTTGTATTCAAGCCAAAAATAATTCTACTTATTGTACTGTCTACTTGTTGTATTTGATAATTCATGCTTTTTTAAGTGGTGGTTAAAGATTTTAATGATTCATCTCACACGTGCACAATGCAGAATTTTCAAATTTTCTTCATTCAATAACCATGAAAAAAATCATTTTTCTCACACCTGCGCTAATAACTCAACAAACATGATATACTATGTCTATACACTTTTTTATGATTCGTTCCGAGAATAGTGCATCAACATGTTATGCTTGCACGCATTTATCTTTGCTGCTATAATTATTGCTTGATGCGAAGTGAAAAACAAGGATATTAAAAAAGCGCTAATTTTCGCTCCCCGAAGTAGCAATTAAAAGTGCTATGTTTTTCGCACAGTTTTTTGTACAGATTTAGAGCTACAGAATCTGATACTGATCTTCAAGAAATTTAAATTTGTCGGGGAAATATTAAAATCAGCATAGTGCTTAAAATAGCTTTATAGTTATTAAACATCTATTATCGTAAATTATTATGACATGTGTTATTAGCAGATACTATGTTAATACAGATAATATGTTAATTTATGTTTTTCTGCTAATAAAACATGAAAATGTTCTTATCTCTAATAGTTCATGTTCTGCTTGATAAAAAAAGTAAAAAAGTAATTAAAAAGTAGGAGTAATATCAATGGAATCTTGAATCTGAAAGCGTTGTTGTTTATCATGCCCAATTTCAAGATCTTCTTTTTCCTCATGAGCTTAGCAAGCAATAAACAACGTTCTCAGATGCTATCATGATTTAAAATCAAGATTTAAAATAATTTCTATTAAAACACAATAAAATAATATACGGACAATGAGAGCTTTACACAGCGCGGGAGTTGGTGCGCAATTTATATAACAATTCTAAAATGTTCACGTAATATATTAAAAATAATGACTTCCAATACAGACTTATTAGGACGTTTCGGTTTACTTCAAACCGAACCGTCCTAAGCTAATAACGTCTTCAGCTAATTCGTATAACATTATAATAATAGATGTGTCAACAGAAAAAGCGTTGGATAAAGTTGAAATATGCTCTATGTGAGACCGAGTATTTCCCTACTGTCTAGTTGAGAGTAACCCAATTTCTGTTTCATCGCTGTTTCGATAAACCGAAACTAATAAGTCTGTATTGGAAATCATTATTTTTAATATATTATGTGAACATTTTAGGATTGTTATTTAAATTGCGCACCAACTCCCGCGCTGTGTAGTTCTCATTGTCCGTACATTATTTTATTGTGATTTTTTCCAATGTTTGCATAGCAGAATAATTGAGTAGAGACCTTAAAGAATATGTGTGAATTTTTACAGAATTTTTCGAGCACTTTATACTTATAATAATATTTATACTTATAATAATATAATAATTTATACTTATAATAATGTCTCTATTTTTAGATGTTAATAATTTTGTATTTTTTCGAACTAATATTTTAAAAGCTTTATATGTTGATTTTATTAGTTTTCCAACAAATTAAAATTTATCAATGTTGGAATCAGATTCCACAACTAAAAAATTATAAAAAATATACTTTACCTAATGCTTTTACTTGCCATTCTAGGGACAAAAATTGATACTTTTTGAATATACTCCTTATAAAATATCTGATAATTATCATTTCTCCGTAAATTTTGTTTTCAAAAGGCGTACGAATATCTAATAAGACTCTTGTGTAAATTGGTGGACAAAGGATTACCAGTGCGTGCATTGGCACAATTGATGAACAATGCCAACGATAATGTAAGTTATAAATATCGTCATAAGAAATTTATAATGCACGTCATATTATACGTCATGCGACATAATCAATACAAATCCGCGTTTAGCTTTATTAATTTCCGGAAACATTCGACTCTTGACATATATCTGGAGACACGATAGTATCTCGGCGTTAAGACAAGCGAAGCGTATTATATTTTACGATAAAAGTTCTAAGATAAATACTTTTCACGTATTATTCAGTTGTATAGTAAACTAAAAAGTGATAAATGTGAAAAAATAATTTTTATATATTCTGTATCATCCATATTATACTTCCCGTCATACTTCCTCGATTGATAATAATGTTGACATTCTATTCAACCTAATTTATGTTTTACAGGGAGAGTGAAAAATCCATTAAATTTACTATAAATGGAACACCACACACGAGTACGTATTCTTCAAATTTATAACATACGTAATTAAAAGTGAAAAAGTTACAATTCTATTAAGCAGCAAGACAACTAATTTTGTTATTTACACGACGGTAGAAACTGTAGAATTTAATTATATGCACGTAATATAATTATATAACGCAGGAAAATGTAGTTACGTTGTTGGCAGAAACCATTACATTTCAGCTATGAAAATTTAATTGTGATGGCTGATGGTGATAGCTTTAAACATTCAACTGTAAAGATTTAATTATGACGATGGGCCTTTGTGAAATTTCGCATCAAATTAAAGTCCTATGTTACTCATATCCATGCTTTATGAACCATAACTATTCTTTTTGATTTTACAATCGCTTCCAGTATCGGGGGACATACCGGCTGATACGTCCCTCAATGTCTACATTCGCGATTATGCGAAACTTCGCGGTACAAAAGCGATGTGCCACGAGGGTGGCTGCGGCGTCTGTGTCGTGGCTGCGGAAATCAAGGGCAAGACAATGGCTGTAAACTCCTGTCTCGTACCAATACTAATCTGCGACGGGTATGCGTGAATCAATCGAGATGTTACATTTAAATTTTACGTTAAAGAAATTAATAAGACTTTATGACACATTTTTTCTCGTTAGAAAATACACTGAAAAAAAAATTTACGAAATTTGAATAAATATTTGTTTAAATATTACCAATGGGACCATTTGCTTACAGAAAATAAATATTTATTCGATTAAAAAAATGATATTCAAATTAAGTATAATTTTTTTTAATTCAACAAATATTTTTTTACTGTAATTTGGTCCCATTGGTACTATCTAAACAAACTATTTATTCAAATTTCTATCTTGATCTATTTATTTAATTTCTCTTAACTTTATTAGAATTATAATTTTAAATAATATTACTGTGTATCTATAAATAAATAATAATCTGTAAATAATTTTACAGATGGATGATTCACACGATTGAAGGTGTAGGAAATAAACGAGATGGTTATCATTCAATCCAAGCTGCACTCGCTGGGAAGAATGGCTCGCAATGTGGATATTGTTCTCCTGGCATGGTAATGAATCTTTACAGGTGTGTGTGTGGTAAAGAAATTAATTAATTGAAAAATTATCACATTTTTTAAAATCAAATATTACAATCTCGGATATACAGATATAATGTGTGAAATAATTAGCAAATAAATCGTTAGTCAAAATAAAAATTCTAATTAAAAAATACATGCATAAATAATGATGCGAGTTAATTAAAATTATCATATTTAAAAAATAATAATTTTAGACATAAAATTTTCTCGAAACTTTTGGCGTTGCAGTAAATTTTCATTGAATAATGCATAATAAAAAAAAATTATTATATAGTTATTATATAGTTAAAATCATTAAATATAATTTAAATAATATATGTATAAGTAAATTATAAATTAAAATTAATACATAAATAATGATACGCGAAAGCGAGCATAATCCATATTTATATGATATTCATTTTTTTTTAATATTAAGCTCGTTATGCATTGGAGATTGAAAATTGAAAATTGGAGATTAGAATTTGATGATAAATAGACAATTTTTTTAATTTAATTCATTTTGTTTTAACTGAATTATAATTTCTAATCCGTAAATTCCTGGTAAGGATTTAACAGAATGTAAATAAATTTGCATACATTATATTAGCGTATGCATTTTATTATCGTAATTTTCAGTCTTGTGCAGAACAAGAAATTGACTATGCAGGAAATCGAGAATTCCTTCGGTAGTAACATCTGTCGATGTACAGGTTATCGTCCAATTTTGGACGCGTTTAAGGGATTTGCTAGTGATGCATCTCCACAATTGGCGAAAGACATTCGCGATATTGAGGTATGTTCTAATAGAGATATCACGTAAATATTTTATTTCATATCGGTCAAGGTTTTATTTTTATATTTTCGAATTTTTTAATAAAATTTGATCTTATTTCCACACAGAATTCCGTTTTATGTATGTAATAACTGTAGTTTATTAATATTATGGAAAACTGTTATATCGTTTTAAATATTTTTACAAATCCAATAATACATTTCATAGGAGATCTATAAAATTAAAACCTGCCCGAAGAACGGAATGCCATGCAAAGGCACTTGCGCGGATAGACATTTCTCAGATGGAAATACGCTGGATATAAAGTTGGCTGATACGGAATTCTATAAAGTTTACTCCATCGAAAATTTATTCGCGATATTTCGAGAGAAGCCAGACGCAACGTACATATTAAACGGCGGAAACACAGCACATGGTAATTTGCTTTCAATTTTCACGATATAAATCAAGACAAACTGATAGAACAAAATATATATAATGTATATGACAAGTTAATAATTTTTATAGATGTATTGAGTTCTTCCAAAACAATAATTGTTTGTACTATAACATTTATAATATAATATATTGTAACATATTTATACTGATCACACCTTTTTATAATTTTTTTTTAATTCAAACGAAATGAATTTTTTGTCTAAAGAACTATTTTACTTTTTTTTATAATGAGAGTTTTGTTTAAATAGAAACAAATGGAAACATGTTTCTGAAATCTATATAAAAAAAGAGCGTTTTATTACATCATTTTTTCATATATTAAATGTATCATTAAATAACACAGCAGATTATATAACACATATTAAAAAATATCCATATTTATTGTTCCAATTTAAATGAGTTTTCTTTATCCTGCGATTAATGTTAAAATAAATATTTGATATTAGAATAAAAAATTTCAAAATTTTTGTTAACTTAAATGAACAAATGATCAATACTAAATAATCAGTTTCGTCATAAAAATATACAAAATATTGAGAATATAACCTTACAGGCGTCTATCGGACGGGCAAAAACGACCTCCGCATCGATATAAATGACATCCCGGATTTGCGTCGCGTCGAAAAAACTAATGATTCTCTAACCCTGGGCGGAGGCGTATCTCTCACCACGGCGATGGAGATCTTTGAGAAGTACTCGTCAGAGACTGGATTCAAGTACCTTCATCACCTGGCCCATCACATCGATTTGATTGCCAGCGTGCCCGTGCGTAACATCGGTAGCATCGCTGGCAATCTGATGATCAAGCACGCGCATAATGAATTCCCGTCTGATTTGTTCTTAATGCTGGAAACCGCCAGTACTCAAATACATATCCTCGAGGCACCGGGAACCAAGAAGAGCATGATGCTGCAGGATTTTTTGCAGACGAACATGCACCACAAGATCATCTACAGCGTGGTGTTGCCGGCACTATCTGATGATTACGAATACAGATCCTACAAGATCATGCCTAGAGCCCAAAATGCTCATGCTCATATCAACGCCGGCTTCCTCTTCAAACTCGATGGCACCGGCAAGGTAATAGATAAATAATCCTTTCCAATTATTCGTATTTTGCGTTATTATTAATCACTATAATTCAGTATATTCGCAATGTTTCACGAAAAGGTGTTGGAGAAGCCTAATATCATCTTTGGTGGTATCAACGAGCACTTTTTACATGCGAAAAACACAGAGCAACTGCTAATGGGTAAATCTATCCTCGACAAGCAAGTGCTGAAGACAGCTTTGGAAACATTGCATAATGAATTGCAACCCGATCATGTGCTGCCAGATGGTTCGCCGGAATTTCGCAAGACTCTCGCCATGGGACTATTCTATAAGTTTGTGTTGAGCATCAAACCGGAGAATGTGAATTCGAAACTTCGCAGTGGAGGATCCATTTTAAAACGAGATCTCTCCTCAGGTACGCATAAAGTAACTAAATAATATATCTTTGCTTTTTAAGTATTTCTATTATATGTGAGGAGTTAAATTTATTTTAATATTTTTTTACATAGGATGTTCAACAATAGAAGGAAAAAATTTAAGGAGTTATTTTAGTGATAAAAAATTGGGCGAAAATTAAAAATTAAAAAGTAAAAGTAAGACTTTGTTTTTAATTACAAATATGTTTAAATATTCAAGTAAAAATGTCTAAAGCACGTGAATATTTAAACATTTAATTAAAAGACGAAATATTTATCACAATTTTGTTATCTCTTTATTTCCTTACTTTATCGTCTTACTTTATCGTCTAAAATAATTCCTTAAATTTTCTTTTTATTGCTGGACGTTCTATATACACATGCATATACTTATGTAGAAAAGAAGATAGAACTATGGCCCTTCATTTATATTTTATAAATCTATATTTCTATATGTATATATAATATTGAAATGTAGATTAAAATATATTTATATTAAAAAAAGATAGAGAAATACTTCTTAAACCGATTTATTTGTAAAAAGTCGTGAGATGCCTCTGATTGTTTTAATAAAAAAATCTGATTACTAGGTACGCAAGACTACGATACAGATAAAAACGTATGGCCGGTGAACAAGCCTATGGTAAAGTTGGAGGCGATTCAACAGACATCGGGCGAGGCTCAGTACTGCAACGACCTACCACCGTATCCTGGAGAAGTATTCTGCGCTCTTGTACTTGCGAAAGTCGCTAATGGCAAGATCGACAGCATAGATGCGAGCAAAGCACTCGCTATGAAAGGTGTAGTGGCATTCTTCAGCGCCAAGGATGTACCCGGCAAGAATTTGTGCATCTCGGCTTCTAGCCGACTAATAATGTTGATAAATGACGAGTTGTTATTCGCTGAAAAGGAGGTTCTCTATGCTGGCCAGGCGATCGGCGTGATCGCCGCCGAAACGCATCATCTGGCCAACGAAGCCGCAAAATTAGTAGAGGTCAAGTACTCCGAGACTTTGAAGAAGAAACCGGTGTTGACCATTGAGGATTCCATCGTTACGAAAGACGATACCAGATTCATGAAAAGCATTAGCGTTCCAGCGAAAAAGAAAGGTGTGAATTAATACTTGAGTAAGATAAAGGAAAAAATTAGAATTGAGAAAATTTCCAATCACAATTATAAAACAAAATAAAACCGAGTAACTCGAGGAATTTAATATCTGTATTGTTACGAAATCGTATAAGTAGCTGTTGCTAATCATTGAAACGTAGAAATGGTAGAGCAATTCTCTTCCTTAAACCTTTTGTGTTACTTTACAGGAGATAACGTTCAACATAAGATAAAAGGCGTATTCCTAACCGGCAGCCAGTACCATTATACCATGGAGCCTCAGTCCTGCGTTTGCATTCCTACAGAGGATGGTATGGACGTTTATCCAACGTCGCAATGGATAGACCTCATTCAAATATCGATTGCGAATGTTCTCGGTATTAAGAACAATAGGTAATTCATCTCCCGCGACCGTTTCGAGAGTATTATTAATTTAATAATGGTAACGTGATTTACACGTTTATAATTTCAGACCGGTAAGAATAAATCAAACAAAAGGAATAAAATTAAATTAGCGTTATAATCGTGTGAATTCAATTTTCGTAGTATCAATGTTCAAGTCAGACGAATCGGCGGCGGATATGGAGCGAAAATCTCGCGGAACGCGTTATTCTCATGTTCTTGCGCGTTAGTATGTCACAAACTAAATCGCCCAGCACGATTAGTTATGTCTATTGAGGGCAATATGCAAGCGCAGGGCAAAAGAGTTTCTTCACGCCACGAATACGAAGTCGGGGTAGACAACGAGGGAGTTATTCAATACAATGATTCGAAATATTGGGCCAACGCGGGCTGTAACTTCAATGATCCCCATGCTTGGGTCCTATGGCATCACTTTGGAAGGCATGTATTAAAAAATATATACATATATAATAAAAATGTATTTTCTAATAATACTCCAATATTAATCGTTTCTTGTATTCAAAATTTTAGAATTTAAAAGTAAATTTTGTGTATATTTCATCATTTATTAATATATAAAATTAAAAAAAGACATTATTTATAAATAAATTAAATTACTAAATTATTATTTGATTTATACTAAACACTAAAATTTTTGCGGAATCCACGAGAAATAAAATGGAAATTATTATAATATTCATCTAAATAATATTATTATAAGTATCATAAAAAGTTTTATTATAAGTATCATAAAATAAGACTTTTTTTGAAAAACCAAAATAGTAATTTGCGATCGAACAATTAGTTTATTAGATACAATTCATGTTAATTCTTTATAATATATTAACGTTTTATTAGTCTTATTAATTTTTTAAGTTCTTAAGTGTGAATAATTGTTACCGATTATTTACAGTTGTTACGCAATCGATAGTTGGATGTTCGACGGATTCGATGTACGAACTGACTTACCATCAAACACATACTGTCGAGCGCCAGGATCTACGGAAGGAGTGGCTATGATCGAGAATATAATGGAGCACATTGCAAAAGTGACAAAAAAGGATCCACTACAGGTCAGATTGGCGAATATGAACGATGAGGATAAGGCCGTATTAGAAACTATGATAAAGGATCTGTCGAAATCGGCTGATTATGAGATACGAAAGCGGACAGTTGAGACATTTAACAACGAGAATCGCTGGAAGAAAAAGGGCATCGCTCTAGTACCAATGAAGTATTCATTCGGCTACTTCGGTCAATTTAATGCTATGGTGTCGGTCTGCGCTCGCGACGGTACGGTTTGCGTGACGCACGGTGGAATTGAATGTGGCCAAGGTATAAATACCAAGGTACGCAAATGAAATTTTTTTCCTAATTACTTTAATCCCTAATTTGCCTAACTTATCTATATAAATATTCAAGAGAATTTTTTAAATAATTTATATTATGATAAACAATTTCGTCAAACATATAATTAAATGTAATAGAAAAGAAATTAAATTTCAAAATTTTTTTTTAAATGTTCGAAAATCTTCTTAAATTCTTTTATATATATCTAGTCTTGCCATAAATTCTGTCAATAGTTTAAACGGATAGAGCAAAAAATAATAAAAACAGATAGACCCAAAGTTATACATATACTCTGAAAGTAGAGACGAAGAAAACTACAAAACCATTTATATTTTACTCGAAATACCCGCCTTTGTTCCGCACCCATTTGCGTAAACGTTAGGGCTACTCATCGATCGGTTTACGCATGACTGCCAGAGGAAGCTTCTCAACTGCTGATACAATGAACGCTTGAGCGATTTTAAATTGCGGTGAAACTTCTTGCATGCCATCTCAACCAAAACGCTTCATAGCTTATAGTCCACCGGGCTAAGGTATGGATTTTCAGACTGCCAATCAGAAATTTTGATGGAGCACGGAATATTGTTCTTTCTAATCGATCGATGAGTGGTCCCAACGTTTACGCAAATGTGTGCTGAACAAAGGCAGGCATTTTGAATAAAAAACAGATGGTTTATATGTGTAGCTTTAGATCTATCTATTGTTTTTTTTGCTCTATTCTTTTAAACTACTGATAGAATTTATGGCAAGGTAGAAGCTTCTAGGTAGAAGCTAGACTGTAGAAGAAATGATTATTTAACTGCTTGTATTTCATTCCAATTTATATAAAAATAATATTTATTTTATAATAAATAGGTTGCTCAAGTAGCAGCTTATACTTTAGGTATTGATGTAGACTTAGTCACCGTGAAACCAACCAATAATTTAATAACGCCAAACAACTCAGTTACCGGAGGCAGTATTACTAGCGAGGCCAGTGGATATGTAAGGATTCAATTTAACTCATTTACAATGTTTTAACGAAAACGACGCGATGTGTAAAAACGATCGTTTGATTTTAGGCCGCGATTCAATGCTGTAAAGAGATCTTGAAGAGACTCGAGCCAATAAAAAAAGAACTGAAGGATCCAAGTTGGCAGGAACTTGTTTTTGAAGCACATCTAAAGGATGTTGATTTATGCGCACGCCATTTGTAAGTATTTAATGCAACTAACTTTTAACACAATAATAATAATATATTGTATCGTATAAATGTTATTAAACATTTTGACGTCTTCTAAAAGTACCATGTTTTTTTCATAAAAAAAAAATAATTATCATATTTTTGTTACAAACTAGTACATTGTGCAGTTTAAATGCTTCGTTTGCATTTTTTGGTTGAGAACAATATCCATACCATAATAATTTCAATTCAGTTTTGATAAATAAATAACATATTTTTATGTGTTGCATTGTAAATTGCATATTTTTATACGTTGAGAAAAGATGCGAAATTATAATATTCTTTTAGTTGCTTATTAATCTATATTATTAGTCTATTATTTATATCTATTAGTCTATTAATTATAATTTATTACACTTCTACAGGTACGCGCCCACGCAGGATGATACACTCAAGCCTTATGGCATTTATGGTGTCACTATTGCCGAAGTAGAAATCGATCTGTTGACCGGTCAGCATATTATCAAAAGAGTCGACTTGATGGAAGACGTGGGTGTAAGCTTAAATCCAGAGATCGATGTCGGTCAAGTAGAGGGTGCTTTCGTGATGGGAATAGGATACTGGACTTCTGAAGAGTTGGTGTACGACTCTAAAACAGGAGTATTAACGAATGACAGAACTTGGGTACATTATCTTGAGTTTTGAACTAATAACTCTACCAAACAATTGCTCTGATTCATTGATATTATTATATTAGACAAAAATAATTAAACTTAAAATATTTTATTTTTATTTGCCACAGAACTATAAACCGCCAGGAATAAAAGATATTCCCGAGGACTTCCGTGTATCTTTCCGCAGAAACGCGCCTAATCCATTCGGTGTTCTTCGATCAAAAGGTAAGAAACTCTATCAATTTTTCATATTTAAATTCTTATTATCTATTAAATAAAAATTAAGAATTTAAAGTTCATAATTTTTTCTTGTGAATTTCTTCGTATTAAATTAAAAAATCGATCGTAAAAAATAATAGATCTGAAAAGATTGAAAAATTTAATGCCTATTAATTATTGAAATTTTTTTGCAGCAACCGGTGAACCACCGCTTTGTATGGCTTTCGTAATTCCGATCGCGATCCGCAATGCGTTAAACTCTGCTAGAGCGGAGGTGGGAAATAAGGATGTATGGTACGAATTAGGTAAGAACACGAATGCAAACAATAATTAAGCACGTTTGTTGATAACATACAGGAAGAGTCAACTTTGTGGCTTGCATTAATTTTTACATTTTTCATAATAAAAACAAATATTCTTTACTGCAAAATATAACATTTCTTTCTTTCTCTCTTTTTTTATAAATTTATAATTTTTTAAATTAAATATATTATTGTAATATATGCACTCAATTTATTACTCATGATTTTTACAGATGGATCATATACCAATGAACGCATACTCCTAAATGGTTTAACCAATAAGGATAATATGGTGCTGTGAACGAGAATGAGATTTACAAGCAAACTAGTGCTTTTAAACTAAATCATATGCTTATTATAATTTGTTCTTCTAATTTAAAATAAAGGTCCTGATACAAAACAATTTACTTAGTCTTTTTTCGTTGATAAACATTTTAGAGTAATAATTATCAGAACAATTCAATTAGTTAGATTTTAAGCATAACTAAGACATTTCTTATGTTAAATATTTTTAATAAATATTGTTTATTTAACGCCTGATACACTACAAGTAGAAAATATCACAATAATATCTGCAACATAATATATAATTGATATTAATAATAATATATATTAATAATAAAATAAGTAAAAACGTAATAATTCAATATAAATATACTTCTTGCGAAATTTTCTACTTGTGGTATATCTAGTATTTTTTCTAAATAGTAGCATTTTTAATAAATACTGTTTACTAAACGTCTCTCTCCTATATACGGATAATCACAATTATATCTGCATACAATTGTAATTGCTAATAACTTAATGTAAGAATTTTACTTCTCTCTTTCAAGAATAACAATGATTATTACTATATATGTGTAAATATTAAATGTGCTGATATCCTTTGCGTTATTTACGTTTAAAGCACATAAAAAAGAGGCAAAAGAATGGAATAAAACGAGATTGAAGCACGCTAAAAGTTTAATTTGCAAAATTAATTATCGTATAAAGTACACCGAACAATTTTTGCTTCAAAATGAAAAAAAGCTTCCTTCAATAAAATTCTTCCCGTATTATGAGCGTTACTGTGACATTCCATTCGTGGAAATAATGTTATTTACATGTCGCGCTTCACGTGAAAAGAAAACATGCCAGATGTAACTCCACTTTTTTCTCTGAAATTTTTCGTACTCATAAGAACACATAAGAAGAAATTAAAAAATAATATAATTTGTGGTATTTGAGTATCGCTTTTTGCAGTATCAATTTTTTTAATATGTATTAAAGAATAACGATATTTTAAAAATTTAGTTTCTAAATGATTTAAAAATTTGAGTATTTGTATTATTATATATACCAAACATGTTTAAGCAAAAAATTTTATTTTTTCATTTATTACACTTTGCATACAATGATTTCTAGTTTAATTATTGCGATAAATTTTCATTCATATTACACTTAAATTTGTATCTCTTTTTCCAAAGCATGCAAGTGAAAAAAAAGGCAATAAATAATATAATTCTTAATTTATTATTTCTAAAATAAAATTTATAAAATAATGTTTATAGAAAAATATTATATATGTATATAAATTATTTTATATACGTTTCTTTCTACTTATATAACTTAAAGTTTTGCATCTATATCTTAATTTTGTCTTATGTTTGTATTGTAAACCATATACATCATTCAGGCTATTTTTCTTTTTAATTTCTGCTTTGCTTTTAATATGATAAGAGCACAATCTGTACAATAAAGAAATGTTCAATGATAAGAGAATGCATACAATTATAAGGTTATAGTATATATATATTCTTTAAAGTATTTCTTTTATAATGTTTCTTACTTATAAATTAAATTTACTGAAATTATTTATTTAAAATTGTCAAACACACACTTTTAGTTCTTTTTTGTTAATTAAGGCTATACAAATTTTTAAAGTATATAGTAAAAAAACAAGATTATCAAGCAAAAATGTATAATGACTAAAATAAAGTGTAGCTTCGAACTTAAAAAAAAAACCTATATTATAAAAAGATTTTTATTTTTGTAATATACATATGTATATCAACATGTATTTTTACAACAATATATATTATATTTCAACATGTTATTTTTATCATATGATAAGTTAATTGTATATAAAATGAGATAAAATTAGAAATAATTGATTGATTGACATGCAATAATTATTTGCGATTATGATGTACTAATGGATTGATTTGCAAAATTAATTAACGTACGCCGAAGCATTGCCTCGAAATGGAAAAAAATGCAATGTATTTTGTCTATGGAGCCACGCATGCCATTTTGTTTATTTAAAATAATTCTATTTATTTATTATTCTATACTACGCTTTACACAAAGAAAAAGTATATTAAGAGTAAAATGTCATTTCCAAAAACAAAAAGTGAAAATCTGCCACTTTCATTCAAGAATGCAAATATTTTCACTCTTTTATAAATCTTTTTTCCCTGAAAATATAAAATTGCATGATTATATTGTTATCAGTTATATAAATTAAACAAAAAATTAACATCAATTGTACTTGATTTTTTAAAATGCTGTTAGCACAAAATAAGATGTAACCTGTTAAATTTTTGTCTATATTTACTGATTTTTCATTTATTTCATATTTTTGTTGCTAAAAGTTGCTTCTATTAAATAATAATATAAAATATAGTATAATGAGGTACAATTTAAATGATATTAGGTATACAATTAACAACTCTCCTCTACGTCACATAAAATTTTTTTCATAAAAAAATCTAATGTAGACGAATTTTTTTTTAATAAAAAAAGACTAATAGAAAGATTTAATAGAAAGAGACTATAAATAGACTAATATGCTATGGATGAGATTGAAATCTGATATGATCGTCAATACATAAAAAATTGTTTACGCATGAATACGTATTTTTTAATAGAAAGAAGAATATATTTAAAAAATCACTCGAATATGGCGATAGTAAGTTATGTAAGTCAAGTCTAATTCTGAAATCTGGATCTTCAAGGTGAATAGGTGACAGGTGAGTATCGAGGTGCGGGGTCATGTATCCGGGGAGTATCCGGTGAGACAAAGCAGAACAAGGAAGGGAGAAGTACGTTATCCAAACCTGTTACTAACCGAGGAACTAACGTTCCCCGTTTATTGCCCCGCGGATCTTGCGCCAACCTGAGCTAGAAACTGGTTTAAATTTGTATATACTCTATCTTCGCAAGGTCACACTAATTAAATATAAAATAAAACAAAAATAGAAATTAAGAGAATTACCTGTAAGATGACAGTTCAGAACAGAATTGAATAGAATATAAATACTTTGGAACATATTATCGGCAGTAAAAGAAAAAGCGTTTGTTAGTTTTTAGACAGAAAATTGGAATGCACCAAACGAAGAAAAAATAAGAAGAGGTCAATTAAAGCTCCTACGTATTGTATGGTAAAAATGTGGAGAAAGTTAGGCATGCTAGAAAGAAGGTAGTATAAGTTGAAAACCAAAAGATAATTCTCTGGTAAAAAGTTCGTATCATTTTGTTTGTTTAATCCATGATATTTTTTAATGTCACACGTTTTTTTACATTTTGATTGTATATGAATTTTACATTTCGATTGTATACCTGACAATCTTCCATTTTACTATTTACTAATATTTAGATGATATTTTACTTGCAGCATCAATTAATTATTTAGATACGATATATTAAAATATTTAATCCATTTCACGAACGACTACTACAAATAGACTAATATGCTATAGATGAGATTGAAACCTGATATGATCGTCAATCAGGGCTCGATCGTATTTCAAATACATTTATTTAAAATATATATTTTAAATACAGGAGAAATTAGAGAGTTATTTAGTATTTATTATTTTAAACAACTTCTTCTGACCTATTTCTTATTCGATATTTTAAATAATTGAACAATTTTCTGAAACCTATTTTTTATTTAAAATAAATCATATCAATTATTATTTTTATTTTATTTATATAATATAATAATTACTTATTAAGTTTATATTCTTATTATTTAAATACTTATTTTGTTACCTAATACTAAGTATAACTATAATAACATTAATTAGAGGCTATAGTTATAAAAAAACTAAAATGATAAAATCTGAAATGTTATAAACTTACAAATGTATACTGAAATGTATGTTCATATATCAAAATATATATAAAATTATTAAAATATTTTGTATTTCCTATTTAAAACGTTTATTTCAAATACATATTTCTTATTTTATATTTTGAATTAGTTTTTGAAACGTAGTTTTTACTTAAAATAAAAAATAGATTTCAAGAACTTCTTTTAAATATAAAATAAGTTATTTTAAATAAATTTTCGAAAACAATTTCTTATTTAAAATAAGAATATTCTTCAAAAAGAAATTTAAAATAAAAAAGCAAGCTATTTTGATATTTTTAAAATAAAAGTTATTATATATTTTAAATAAATAAAATGCATTCCTATTCTTATTTTATATTTTTAATCATTTCTTGCGACGTATTTCTTATTTAATATTTTACATAAATTTTGGGACTTATTTTATATTTATTATTTCGAATAAATCGTATCATTCTTTTATCGACTCCTACGATTTTATATTTAAAATAAGTTTCTGGAATTTATTTTATATTTTATATTTTAAATAGGTTGTATCAGTTATTTTATCGAGTCCTGTAGTCAATATATAAAAAATTGTTTACGCATGAATATGTAAAAATATCTACATAATATACATAAACACGTATAAATATGCATAAATATATATAATTATATATGAAATATTACTGAATTCACACTGCATCCGATTTGCGTCGTACGACACAGCAACCAATCAGAAAACAGGATTCCGATGATACGAAGCAAAATCTACCGGAATCCTGCTTTCTGATTGGTTGTAGAGCGTCGTACGACGCACATCGGATGCAGTGTGAATCCAGTATTTGTCCATACATGTTCATATGCGTTTTTTTTTTGTAAAATTTCTTTTAGTGTAACAAAAATAATAATAATGCGTAAACATTAAAAATAATTAAAGAGATAATTTTCGCATTAGTTGTTTTAGAAAATATCAAGTTTGGAGAAATCTGTAAAAAAAACTGCTTATACACAATTATGCATAATTTTATATTTAATTATACAGAAAAAACGGCTACGTTTGCCACGACCAAAAGTCGCCCATCAATACATTTTTTTGGATATATAGAACTATAGTACGATTGTGATAACTATAAGATTGGCATATCTTAACGGTTATGGCAACTGTAAAGATATGTCCATCTTACGGTTATCACAACCGTATATATATTGATGGGCGAAAATGATCATTATTTCCGGTTGTAGCAATCGTAACATTTTTTCTGTGTATACATAAGCAATTTTTTTATATTTCTTCAAACTTGATTTTTTTCTAAAACAAACAATGAGAAAATTACCATTTTTATTATTTATTATATTTTTTCATTATTATTATTATTATTTTTATTACACTAACAAGTAACTTTATCAATGAAAGAAGGATATATGAACTTGTATGGACATATTTCAAATGTAATATATATTAATGAATATTTATACATGTTATGTATAGTTATACATATTATTTATATAGATTGCATGACAAATGTTTTACCAAACCGGTTCTTAATCTACTGTCTCCCTCCTAACGTGCCTGACTTCCCCCTCTTTCTGCCATGACATGAAAGTCTTATAAAGTTAGTTTTTTCTTATTTCTTCTTCTTCGCTTAATCCGTTCCAATTGTCTCTTCTGGAACTAATACGACGCTTTTACCGTTGACGATACTGTCAACGATACTGTGTTCAAAAGTATTTATAATACTTTGTTCAATTCATGCTGGCATTTCACAGGTAATTATTTCTCTTTCTGTTTCAATTCGTATAGAATTTTTTATATCAAGTTACATTTGAATGTGTTTTTCTTACACTCTCTACTTTTTATTAAAGCATTCACGTTAGATTTTTTTTACGAAAAAAACTTTATTCCGATTGCATAAGTTATTTATAATCATTATACTGAGCAAGAAAATTCAATCTTTTTTTGTATAGGGAATGTGAATTAGCAATCAAAGTCAAAATACTCCTTTTATGTAATTCGTGACAACTCAACAATAAATAACAATAAATCTTAATAATATGATATATTTTCATGGACTTACTTGTTCAATATAATAATAGCACAATTTTATTGCATAATAAGAGAAATAACGACTACACATGGGACACGTAGTGATAAAGTTCTTTTTTCAATCCATTTATCCTTGAAATTCCTTTTTACCACTTACAATTAGTTCAACAAATTTATTTGAAAAAATAAGTAGTGAAAACGTGACTTAATGATAATAAACAATAAATGCAAAGAGCAAAAAACTACACACAGGATGTTTGTCGCGAAAGTCATATATTTAAGATATTACTCGTTAAACATATAAAAGCATAAAAACGCTATTTAACATATACGAAGTGTTCAAAAATGTTTACTCTGTAAACGTTTTTTAAGCAAAGTATTTTAGATATTTTAGGTAAAAGCTAAAATATTTAAAAAATGATTGACTATAGCAAACTCCATCTAAAGTCAAATTCTTATTATCAAGTACATTTTATTTAATCCTACAATTTTAAGTGATAGTGTACATTAAGTCTATAATATGATCATGAATATAACAGAAAGTTTTATTTAAAGGCATACACAACGCAAGATGTTCTTCGCTAGAATTTCATATTTCTATCATTTAACAATGAAATAAACGTTTCGGCCTCAAATTAGGCCTTCTTCAGTATTAATATTAATCTTCATAAGAGAGTTTAGAATTTTATGCATGTTTGTCTAAAAAGCGCAATATCAATTTGTGTTTCCCGTTTTTAATATTGCGCTTTTTAGATAAACATGTATAAAATTCTAAACTCTCTCTCTCTCTTATGAAGATTAATATTAATACTGAAGAAGGCCTAATTTTAGGTCGAAATGTTTATTTCATTGTTAAATGATAGAAATATAAAATTCTAGCGAAGAACATCTTGCATTGTGGTGTATGCCTTTAAATAAAACTTTCTGTTTTTTAGTCTATAACCACTTTGACATGAAATGAATATAACATTTTTATAATTGTGTGAGTTTATTTATAAATGGTGCAGTAGTTATTTTTTAAATGCTACAGGAATATTTTCACATTGTTGCGTTTATGTGTAGTCTTATCACTCTCACTGTGTACAACTACTGGACTAGATGCAAATAGAAGTTGAAATCCTCTCAGAGTCGATATTTTTTAAACGAGAGATCGCTCAGATATGTCACATATGTTGATATAACTGACAAACAATAGTACAAACAGCAATAATGTAAGTGTTTTTATTACATTTATAATGAATTTAACATCGTTAAGAAAATATTGCTTTTATGTTGGATAACAATATTAACCATTACAATATTGTATAATTTTAACAAAGGAAAAGAAAAGATACATTTCCTTACAAATAATTATTAGCAAAATGTTATATTACTGAAAAATATGATCAAACATACGTGAAATATAATAAATCCGCTTTGAAATTACTAATTGCAAAATTTTTCATCTGTGAACATTTAAGTTGCATTTAATGCTTAAAGTTAAATATACTTCTTTAGCTTTATAATTTTATACGATGTTTAAGTCTTTATGTGTGTATGATTATGTATCTTATAAGGTGGTACAATTTCGCAAACATATAATTCTGAACAAATTAAAAATTCAATTTCAAAAATCAAGTTTAGGAACTTTTATTGTTTGAAGGACGCTGAAAGATACAGAAGAAAATTTTTAAACTTCGAAAATCAGATTCAAATCTTATGTCGCATAGAATTTATTATGTTTGAAATTGTATAACCATATCCTACATTTGTAAACGGATTTGTAGTCATCTTGAAAATATAATATTACAAAAACTTTAGTTCTATAATAGTGTTTTCATTTAAAGTTTTATCATCATTGCTGCGTAATCTCATTGACTTTTATGTGCTATAAAAGAAGATATAGTATCCAATAATTTCCAAATATTATATTTTTAGAAAGAATTCCCACATCTTATAAAAGTTAATAGAACTTAGAGACAAGAAATAGTGAATTGTAATTTTACTACGTTGACATAACTGATGAATAAAAATGGAAACAGCAATAGGATATAAAGAAACTATTACAATGTAAGTGCAAAATTTTATTATAAATATAAGAAATTATGTTATTTTAACAAAGAAATTGTAAAATGTTCCTTATCTATTAATGTGTATTGTCCAGTACACAAAGTAAATAGAAAAAAATTCGTACAAAATATAATCTATATTCTTGAGGCTGATAATAACATTAAAATGCATCCAATCTAATTTATGTTTAATTTCAGAAATAAAAGAGACTCAAGAGACTATATTAACTTTACAATTAATGGAGTCTCTCATGCTGGTACGTATTCTTTGTATGAAATGTAATTAAGAAAACGAGGAATTCTTCATAAGCATCATTAGAAAGCGAAATAATTTAGATTGTAATAAAACATTTTTTAATTCAATATTCATATATTATAAAAAAATCTAATTTGAAGCTTTAAAATTTATCAAATATATATTATGACAAGAACCATTACATTCAATTATGAAAAACTAATTATATGTAAAAAAAGATATTATACAAAAATTTATAAAACTTTATGCATTATGAATAACAGTGTGTTTTAGAAATAAAATACAATAATGTGTATGTTAATGGAAAATCATAAATTCTACATCGATTTGTAAAATCATTTTCAGTATCAGGAAATGGAAACAATTGTCGCGTTTGTATACCGACTAGCATATCCCTCAACATCTACATTCGCCATTATGCGAAACTAAGGGGCACAAAAGCGATGTGTCACGAGGGTGGCTGTGGTACCTGTATTGTGGCTGTGAAAATTAAGGATAAAACAATGGCCGTGAATTCTTGTTTAGTACCGATACTAATCTGCGACGGGTATGTGTATTAACCCTTTAGATCCTTCGTACATTGTAATTTACGTCAAATTTGAATAAATCATCCATTGAAATTATTTGGTTTTCTTGATATCATCAGAGACCAGAAGTACGTAACACAACGTATATATTGAAAAAATAGTCCAAATTAAACAATTTAATTTTTTAGTTAAAAAAATTGGATTCTTTTTTAGAATGTCCTTAAATTAAACAAATTTTTTTCAAAGTTGGGTGCCAGACTTGGATAGGTGAATTTGTGTTATGATATTACTATTATCGCTGACATTAGAAATTATTCCTTAAAGTATTAAGCTACATCTCTTTATGAAGAAATAAAATCCGACCGAGTAAATGTAACAACATAAATATATTAGAAGAGCGCCTAGAATCGGTCAAAGTTAGATGTTTCGAATAATATAATATTCTTGGTTTATAAATTTAATTTATCTAAAATGTAACTATGCGCCGAAACGTTCAGACATTTTAAACATAATTAATCTAAGATACTAATAATAGCGAGCTGAAACATTCGGACATTCGCGTGTATATATAATCCCCCCAATAAGAAACTTTTATTGCGAAAAATATTACCTTAGTCAGTATTCGAATCTGGGATCCATATCTCTTCATATTCATGTTTTTAATTCATTTTTTACTTCTTTTGAACTCATCAAATTTATGCTAATATTAATGTTTTACACATTGATTCATACCAAATAATGTCGCAGATGGAATATTTACACAATTGAAGGCTTAGGAAACAAGAAAGATGGTTATCATACGATTCAAGCTACGCTTGCTAACAAAAATGGTTCTCAATGTGGATATTGCTCTCCTGGCATGGTGATGAATCTATATGGGTACGTATTATTAAAATGGTTAATTAATTTGTAAATTAAAGACCTATTATACTTCAGGCACATTTCATTTTTTCTCTTTCTGATAACATCTTTTTAGAATTGTTGGGCGTTGCCACAAAATTGCATTAAGTACCCTTAAGAAAAATTAATATACATATAAATATATTATTAAATGAATCCCTATAATTATTAATAATCCAATAATAAATGAACAAATCATTAATTAAAATGACGCGTCATTGAATGTTTGTAAAATAAAAATTTGCATTTGTTATTTATAATTTGCAGTCTCATTCATGACAAAAAGTTGTCTATGGAGCAAATCGAAAATTCATTTGGTGGTAACATTTGTCGATGTACTGGATATCGTTCGATTTTGGATGCGTTCAAGGGATTTGCTAATGATGCGCCACAATCATTGGTGAAAAACATTAGCGACATTGAGGTGCTTGTGTAAAAAGTTTCATTTTTATAACAAAATTTAATTTTTATTTCAAAATTTCCTTCATTTTATCTAATTTTCAAAAAGAAAATTTCATTATGTTATTATAATAATAATAATTTAATCGTTATTTCAAAACTTCTTTTATTTTAAACTAGCAGTTATAGCAAGTAGCAGTGTACAGTTAATCGAGACTATTGTATAAATAAATCACTTAAGTAAGAAAAGAACTAAATTAATCAAGACAAGATCTGGGTATTTAACAACAATTTTTAAATGCAGACTCTAAATACATGCGTAATTATGACTAATATATAAATAATACTATAGGCCTTCATAATCGAACTGGAAAAGACAGGACAGTCCAGGTTTGAATTCCGACTCAGATAATAATTTTTACAATAAGTTCTCTTTATAGATTTTAGAATACTGCTAACATTAAATTAAAGATTTAATTTAATTAGAGGAGATTATTATTATTTCAGATTGATATTGTGTTGCAAGTCCGAAAGTAATCGGTGCAGTCACATATCTGAGATAAACATTTATATATTATTTACATTCTGTTATGAGTATAATAAAATATACTTCGCAGGAATTGTACAAGATTAAAACTTGCCCGAAATACGGAATGCCACGTACAGATAGTGGCTGCGACAAGCAACTGTTCCGCGGAAACATATTATACATGAAGTTAGAAGACGCGGAATTTTATAAAGTTTATACAATCAGAGATGTATTTGGAATATTTCAACGAAATTCGCAAGCTACTTATATATTAAATGGAGGAAATACTGCGCAGGGTAATTTTCTATTCAATTGTACCGTTAATTTTGAGAAATTGAAATAAATACTTTCTCATAAAAATAATTTTACTACGAAGATGCAAATTCTCTGATAAAATGAAAATATTAATTGCTGTCACTTAATTAAAAAATCCGTATATGATTATATATATACGCATTATTTTCATTATTAGCTGTCAGTAATAATTATATGTGTTAAAATACAATTTTATTAACAATTTTTGAAAGTAACAATGACCTCTCTTGTGATACCAATATTTGTTAAGATTTACTAAAAGAAAGTAAAAATCCAAGAAGCTTCGATAATTTTAATTGCTCTATGATGTCACATTTGACAGTATTATTAATTTTCATGACAAATTAAATATAAAAAATAAGCTTTAATGCACATAATATTGTAGAAATTTAATTTTGCAGGTGTTTATCGTTCGAGTAAAAAAGATATCTATATCGATATAAATGACATTTCAGAATTGCGTAATATTCAAATTACTAAGGACTACCTGGTCTTAGGAGGAAATGTAACAATTACTATGGCGATACAGACATTACAAAAATATTCCACCGAACCCAAATTTAGATATCTACGTCAATTGGCCGAGCATGTAGAAAAGATCGCTAACGTACCCGTGCGAAATATCGGTAGCATCGCCGGCAACTTAATGATTAAGCACGCGCACAATGAGTTCCCATCTGATATGTTTTTGGTATTAGAAACCGTCGGTGCTCAAATACATATCTTAGAATCACCAAGTAGGAAGCAAAGTGTACAACTTATCGACTTTCTGAAACTCGATATGCGTCACAAAATCATCTACAGCGTTGTATTACCACCGTTATCCAACGAATACGAATTTAGATCCTTCAAGATCATGCCTAGAGCTCAGAACGCTCATGCTCACGTCAACGCCGGCTTTCTCTTCAAACTCGATGGCAGTGGCAAAGTAATAAAATACTTTTACATTGTTTATATAACGCTATTCTTAATTGCAATAATTACTCATACTTCAACTTCTTTAAATTCTCGTTCATATCTGTAATATTACATGAAAAGGTGTTGGAAGAACCTAACATCATCTATGGTGGCATCAACAAACAATTCTTGCATGCAACAAAGACGGAGAAACAACTGGTTGGTAAATCTATCTTGGATGATGAAGTACTGAAGGCAGCTTTGAGTACACTGCATGGCGAACTGCAACCTGACCATGTGCTGCCGGACTATTCACCAAAATTCCGCAGAATTCTCGCCGAAGGATTATTTTACAAGTTTGTGTTAAGCATCAAACCACAGATTATAAATCCTAGACTTCGTAGCGGAGGTTTCTTGTTAGAACGAACCCTATCATCAGGTATATAAATTGACAAGAATAATTTTGAAAATATATTTATTTTTTATGTATTCTTATATGCTTGAGAATTCAAGTATGTCTCACTTCGTGTCAGTAATTCTATTCCATTCAAAACACTTAATATTTTAATTTACATTATTTTATTTGTGCATTAAGTTTTTAAAGTTGAAAAAATTTTACTATTAATATAAAAATTTTTTATGCTCTTAATAATTTTGATAAAAAAAAATAAATAAATGTGGCTATTTTAAATATCACAATTTATTTTCAAAAACTCGTGATATACATGGTGTCTCTAAATTCCCGCATACGAAGTACAAGACGTGATACTTTATGCTAAAACAAATAACTTTTTCCTTTAACAAAATTGTGTTCCTTTAACAAAAATGTTAAATAATTTTTGCGCTTATTTGTTAACTTCAACCTGCTCTCCTGCAAAAACTATTTATCGGACGCAATTTTGCAAACGGAAAAAGTTGTTTGCTTTAGCATAAAGTATCACGTTTTGTACTCCATATGCGGGGATTTAAAGACATCCTGTATATGTTCTAATTGTCCAAATTGTACATACAAAACATATCATCACTCTAGGTACACAAGACTACGATACAAATAGAGACATGTGGCCAGTGAATAAGCCGATAGCAA